AAACAATCAGTTTGCTACATAATTGAGGGATTTAATGTGAATTGATGCTAAACCAGACTAGTTTTAAAGTCATTCACTCAAAATGCTTCTGATCTTTTGAAATTGCAACTTGTTTCTTATTTTGTTCTGTATCTACCTTAACCTAAGCCTTGTTATAAACTGTAAAAAGTCCTCTTGAAGTGTGATTGGCTGTACTAAGCAGAGGAGATGGAGAAATTGGGCAAACATATGGTAGAGTGCAGCTGAATTGGTGATTAAAGAGAGAAAACAGTACCTAAACACTGCTGAGAAATGAGGGAAACACTGTCCAATGAGAAGTGATCATGATTTTTAATGTTTCTCACATGAACTTGGCTGATATATATTCACTTAGATAGCAATTCTTGCTCCAAATTTGATGAATGCATTGTGATTGCAATGATGAGTAACTGGATGAACATCTTAAATGAAAATTATGCAGAAAACACGGAACTGTAAATTGAAAATCTTAGAAAAGCAGTTTGCTAATTGGTTTTTGAAAAGTGGAAGAATTACTCTTGGTTTAGTTTGATTTGCTTGAGGACAAGCAAAAATTCAAGTTTGGGGTAGTGATGAATCCATATTTTGACTGATATTTTAGCATAATTCTAACACATTTGATAAGAAAAATATATAAAGAAAGCAGAAAAACTCAGAAAAAGAGAAGGAATTGAAGTTTTGTTTAAATTTGTAGTTATTTTAGCAATTGTGAAATTTTTGCTTAGCAATTAAGTTTTTAATCTTGTTTTTGCAGGAATAAATTGAGCAAGGATCATATCCATGGAGGTTTGATGACAAGGAAGAGGAAAGAAGCAAGTCTGAACTCCAAAAACACAAGAATAAGAAATTGCAGACTGAGCGTGATCACTATTGTCAGTGAAAGTGATCACTTCAGAGCTCAAAGAAGAAGTGAAGCCTGGGCATTACCACTTTTATCATTAAAAGTGATAGTTCCAGAGAGGCAAAATATCAGGAAAGCTCTGCGTAACCACTATTGTCATCAAAAGTGATCGTTCCAGAGAGTCTTCAACTTGGCGAGTTGCGCGTAGTAACTTTTATCAGCAATAGTGATAACGCGCAACTACCTTGGCTCTGCGTTGTCACTTTTATCATCAAGAGTGATAGTTTCAGAGAGCTCTCAATATCAGGAAGTTGCGCGTGGCCACTATTTCTGGGAAAAGTGTTAACGCGCAACCAAAAACTCTTTGCGTAACTACTATTTCTCATAAAAGTGATGATGTGAAAATCTGGAAAATTTTATAAATACCAGAAACGATCCGGAAAAAGGGGATTCTGTTCATTTTTTCAGTTTTTTTAGTTAGCTTCTTATTAGAGGAAGTGAGAGAGAGGAGTGGGGATTCGAATCTTGGAGCTTCACGAAGAGGAATTGGAGTGGAGCAAGCTTTCATGGCGTTTTTGAGTTTCTTCTTCTCTTCTTCTCTTTCTTTTCTTTTCTCTGCTGCCATGGCTGTGTAATTCGTTCATAGTTAGGAATTGTAGATCTGAAACGAACATGTTGAATTGATTTGGATCTGAATTTCAAGCTTTGGAATAGATTGAGTGATTGATTCTGAACTTCACGTGGAAATTGAATGGAAATTTGATTAACTAAATTTAGAGGAACTCTTGACAATGGAAATTAAATTTGTTCTTCAGATCTGAACCAATCACCGAGATTATAGTTTTCTTAGGGATAAGGAACTTTGATCTTGCAATCTTCTGGTTTCTTACACTTAAAGCAATATTGAATTGAATCATATCTAAGGAATTAGAATGGTTTAATTGAATGTTAGGTTCACTGAGTTAAGGAATTAACCTCTGAATAATATAATGTGAAACTGATTGTCATTCGTTCCAATTGCTTGTTAATTCAGAACTTTATTGATTAAACATTGGAGTTTTGGTGAAGCAATTCCCTAGCTATGGTTTCTTCCTCTGTTATCACATAACTGTGTGTTCATTGTTCTGTTTTCTGCAAGTTCATTTTACTTTTAATTGTTCTAGTTTGCTGTTATTACATGTTACTACTCTCCTTACAATTTCGAAAGAGCTTAAATGGTTATTATTCTATGAAGTGGTATTTGAAACCTAAATTCCCTGTGGAGACGATATTTGGATCTTAAATTTACTCATTACTTGCTGCAATCCTAGTGCACTTGCTAGTGTAGATTGCGAACAACACCTACCAGATGAAGGAATTTGCAGGAGCTCCTTTGAACAAAGTTGATCAGCGTGATGAATGCTATTTGGACACCAAAATTCAGCCTCAAACTCCAAAGTCAAACTGGTAGTGAAGTTTCCGTCTACAAGAGTCACAATAAATACCTCAACGCAAAAACACAAAACACAAAACGCAAAACGCAAACGCAAAACGAAATAAAAACAAAAAAAGCAAAACACACTAAGGAAGATTAACACTCTAAATATGTTAAAAACGCCAGTGACTCCCGGGCAACGGCGCCAATTTGACACGAGGTCGCACACGGGTCAAAATCAACCTAATTACTATAGTACGAGGTAAGCAACCAGGGTCGTTTCTCAAAGAATCACAATGACAAATTAATCTATTTAGAGATAGTATAAGACAGGGGAGTTTGTTCATAAAGGAAACAAAAACGCATTTAATTATAATTAGAATGAAGAGTGAACAGAAATTGAATTTCCAATCCAAGAATTAAGAAGAAAAATTACTACTCTATCACTATATTTTTAAGAGAGTACATCAACAAACAATTCGGTAATTAACAATGAATCCAAATGAAACCTCAATTCGAACTCAGCATTCACATGAAAACCTTCATGCATTCAATTAGCACATAATTAATTAAAATTCAGAAAACTCTAGAACTTAATTGAATTATGCCAATTTAATTTACCAATGCCGTTAAGCATAGTTTTTAAACCCGAAAATCCAATTCATGTTCCTTAAAACTCAATTACATACATCAATCAAATAATACGTAATCAACCAGATGCATAATCATCAATCCAAACAAATAACTTCAATTCAAAAATATAATTAGCAAAAGGGAGAGAATAAGGAATAGATGAAACCCGAAATTGTTATTGAATTTATGCGAATGTGCGATCAATCAATCCTCAAGAGTGTCACGTCTCTTTTAATCCTTGAATCAGATAGGAATCTAAGCCTCCATGGATGGAGGGAAACAATTCATGAAAGGAAAAAAAAAACGAAAAACAGAGAGAAGAAAGAAGAAGAGAGGAGAGGAGCCAAAAACAACTTAAAATTCAAAATTTTTAAAATTCAAAAATTCCATTCGTCACTTTGTTCCCTTTTTTTGGGAATGAAAACGGCCTCTTGTTAGTTCGTGGCCTGAAGGATAATTGTAGCCTTGGATGTTAGCTTCAAAATGCCACTGGAATGGCCTTAATCGGATATCTGTGGACTGAGATATGGCGCAAATACTGTACCTTGCTCAGGATGCACGACTGCAGCGTTTTGACCTTTTTCCAGGCCCAGTTTCAGCTTCTTATCATAAGAATTGGTTTCTGACCTCTCATAGAAATTGTGCACCTCTCTCTTAGCTTTCCTACAAATCAAGAATAAAAATGAAAGGAGTTCTACAACTCAAGATATGGTCCAGAAACCAAAACAGTATCAGAATTTGCCAAATACTAGAAAAATTAAATAAAGTCCAAATAAAATTCAAACATCATAAAATGATCCAATTCAACCAATTAAGCACAAAAGAGGATTAATGAGTTAGGAATGAGAGGAAATACTGTTATAAAAATCCAATTGATCAATCAACTTTACTATAAATAGGACTTTTACCCCTTAGGGTAGGAACTTTTTACCATTTTAGATACTTTTCCATTTTAGGACACTTTGGCAAAGTTTAGGTCAAACCTTGGGTGACAACCAAGGTTCCATATTAGGGTCTATTTCCTACTTCTACTTACTTTTTTTTTTTTACTTTAATGTCATTGATCTTTCTTGATTCTTACTTTGTAATATTGAAACCCATCCTCATGAAGGGCTAAATTTTGTTGTTAATCCCTAGTGAAGTTCATATGAATTCTTGAAATCTTGGGTTTAATGTTAATATGAATCTCTTTTATGAATTTCTTCTTTTCCAATCTCTTGAATTAAGTTAAGAATTGAATGGAGGATGTTGCTTAATCAAACTCTAATTCATTTTTAACTAGGGTTCAAAACTTGGTTTGCTTAATTTTGAGTTTAATTCTAAGGTTGCTTAATCCTAAGGATTAGAGATTAAAGCCTATTGATTTGCTTAATTTTGTATGAAAATTTAGGGTTGATTGACGCTTATTGATTATAGTATTAAATTCTAAGAGGATTTATGATAGAATTAATATGGACAAGCTAGGGGTTAACACATTTTGTCAATTGAATCTTCAAAATTAATTTTCTAATTGAGCAATTTGAATTTGAAACCACAACCCCCCCCCCTTTTTATTTACTTTCTGAATTCATTGTTCATAATATGTTTAATATTTGGTTTATATCCAATGTTCATGGGAGACGATCTGGGTTAGCACCTTAGTATTATATTAAATTTTTTGCATATTTTGATGAGAATTAGCAGCTAATTTTTTTTGCATGACCATCAAATTGGCGCCGTTGCCAGGGAACATTGTTGTTCATTTAACATTGAACATGTTGAATACTCTGTTTTAGTGTTCTGTTTTTTGTTTTTCTGCCTAATTGTGTGTTAGTTGTTTTAAATTTTCTGCATATTAGATAAAGTAGAGTTGGTATAACTTTGTAGTTGATAGATTAATTCTGCATATTGGTATATATTTTTGCTGTTTCTGCATTTTGTGAGCATTACATTTTGCATAAATAGCTTAAGAATTTTGCATCCTTAATTTTTTGTATTTTTGCTCTATTTTTGTTGCACAATTCTGCAAAATTGGCTTCAATACAAAAGAATGTTGTTGCATCTGTATCTCCACCACTACCAACTCCAGCCATGCTTTGTGGAATATGCTTAACTATGGATCATTATACAGATAGCTATCCTACATTGCAAGAGTCTAACACTTTGGAAGGTAACCCCTAAGCTTATGTTACAAATATTTACACTAACAAATTTCCTTTCCAACAGTCGCAGCAACAAACAAATTGGAACTTGTCTTCAAATAAATATAATCTTGGTTCGAGAAACCATCCAAACTTGAGATGGAGAAATACTCCATAGCAGCACAACTAACAATATAACACCCATTACCAATCACACAATGCTGGATCAAGCAAATCATACCAATTACAACAAGCCCAACAACACCAGCCATCATCTTCCTCATAAGCCATTGCACCTCAAAAGTGTGAACCATCATTAGAAGAGCTTATGAAGCAAATGACGATGAACAACATCACCTTCCAGTATATGACAGAAGCTAGCATCAAAACTCTGGAGAATCAAATGGGACAATTGGTTTCTTCCCTGAACCAAATTTAATCTCAAGGCTCAGAAAATCTCTCTGCACAAATTGTGGTAAACCCAAGGAATGTGAGTACAATTACCTTGAGATCTGGAAGAGTGATGCAAGGACCTAAACAACCAAAGGAGAAGGAAGATACCAGCTGTACTTTAGCTGCAGTTGATGAAAATGTAGAGGAAAATACCTTAGAACCTACACTTACTTAAATCCCACATAAACCAAGTGTTGCAGAAAATGCTGAAAAAGCAATTCCTCTCCCATTTCCTCAACGAGCCATCCAGCCCAACAAGAAATTCGAAGAGACCGACAAGGAAATTATGGAAACCTTTAAGAAGGTGGAAGTTAATATACCTTTGTTAGATGCAATCAAGCAAATGCCTAGATACGCCAAATTCTTGAAAGATTTGTGTACCAATAGAAGACGTTTAAAAGGTAATGAAAGGGTAAATATGGGTAGAAATGTTTTTGCATTATTTGAGAAACAGAGGACAACAATGCCTGAAAAGTGTAAAGATCTAGGAACATTTACTATTCCATGCACTATTGGTAATAACATAATTGATAATGCTATGTTAGATTTAGAAGCATCTATTAACGTTATGCTTTTGTCCATTTTTACCTCTTTGTCTCTTGGCCCTTTGCAGTCCACAAGTGTAATTATTCAGTTGACCAATAGGAACACAACACATCCAGCTGGACTTGTTGAGGATGTGTTAGTGTGGGTGAATGACCTCATTTTTTTAACTGATTTTAACATCCTTAACATGCAAGAAGAAGAGTCAATGAATAGCGCTACACCAATCATTTTGGGAAGACCATTCTTGAAGACTGCAAGAACGAAGATCGATGTGCACACTGGAACACTCATAATGGAGTTTGGAGACAGTGTTGTCTGCTTCAACATAATGGAGTTTGGAGACAGTATGTTGTCTGACTAATTTGTCTGAGTTTTTAGAAAGGAACACTTGATTTTTCTCGTTGTACAGATACTTTTATTTGTGAATCTTGTGATAATTCCCCTTTGTGTGATGTCTGTATTGAAAAGTTTAATTGTTTGAATGATAATTCTACAACTTTTTGATGTTAATGAGACTGAAAAATCCATAGGGTTAGAATGTGATGCCATGAGTACAACAAGTACAGTTGAATCTAACCTTTATGATTTAAATGTTGTGGAGATTTTAACAAATGGAAGTGTTAAATCACTTCCCTCTATGAAACAACTTCCCACATTGGAGTTGAAGCCCCTACCTGAGCATTTGAAATATGCTTATTTGGAAGCAAAAGAGAGGCTCGCGATTGTTATTTCAACCAAGCTTGATGGCAATCAAGAGAAGAAGTTGTTAAAAGTGATCAAAAGGCATAAGAGAGCTATAGGATGGACACTTACTGAAATTCCTCGTATTAGCCCCTCCATGTACATGCATAGAATTTTATTGGAAGAAGGAGCTAAACCAGTGAGGTAACCTCAAAGAAGGATGAATCCTATCATATTAGATGTGGTGAAGATGGAATTCACCAAGCTACTTCAAGCTGGGATCATCTATCCAATCTCAAATAGCACTTGGGTCAGCTCGGTCCAAGTGGTTTCAAAGAAGTCTGGACTTACTGTGGTGAAGAATAAGAAGGATGAGTTGATATCCACCAGAGTCCAGAACATCTGAAGAGTCTTCATAGACTATAGGAAACTGAACCAAGCAACAAGGAAGGACCACTTTCCTTTACCCTTCATCGACCAAATGCTAGAAAGGTTGGCTAGCAAGTCTCATTATTGCTTTTTAGATGATTTTTTTGGTTATTTTCAAATTTGTAGTGTAACACCCCAAATTTTTCCTCATTTTATAAATGATTTTGGATTATGTTAACCTTATTTAATTAGAAGTAAGTAGTACATAGAAATTTGAAAACTAGAATTTTTCTTAATAAAATTTACCGAAACAAGTCCGATTGATAAATAATCGAGTAATATAAAAAAGAAATAAAAACCTAAAAAAAATTATTTAACATTTTAGACTATCTAAAATATTTTTATATGAATTATAAGAAATTTAGAAAGATCCAAAAATGGAAAATAAATAAAATTGTAAAATTTGACCAAAATGACCACAATACCGCTAGAAACACCTAGAATGGAGGCCTATTTTGGACAAGCAAATGAAGGAGATAAATTATGAAATTTTTATGATAGATGGCCCATGTGTAGAGCTTATGGACGTGCAAGTATGAAACCGAAAGATCAAGTACATAAATTACCCAAAAATCGCCCAAAAGAGGCCCAAAAATCAAGTGTACATGAAAGAAAGTGGGTTAGGAATAGTAAAGAGTCATGTGACCTATTAGAGCCATGTGAAACTAATCACAATTAAGAGATAAGGTCATTTATGCCTTAATCCCAACTGGATGAGCATATTCCATAAGAGCCATTGAAATCAAGCCAAAACAACAAAGTGAGCATTTTTAGAAGATAAGGCTAATGATGAATGATTTGTGGACTAATCCTCATCCAATGGATCTAATTAGACCATAACCATGGCTATTGAATTTAAACTAAATAGGTTTCAAAAAGTAATTGGAATGGTTGAAATGGAACTAGGAAGGTTAAAATCTAACTAGAAGTACAAAACTATCATGAAAGGACAATTTTGGACATTTACAAATGTGCATATGGGTAGGCTTATCGAATAAGCCAAAAAGGAACCAAAATTGAAAACCAAGACTTGTGAGAGAGAGGGTGGAACTGTGAGATGCACGAGGGTAGGCCAACATTAAGAGATTTTCTATATAAAGCCATGCAAGAAGTAAAAAAAGACCCTTCACACCAATTCTCATGCAACCCAAGAGCTCTTTACTTCTTCATCTCAATTCTCGCTATACACATCCAAGTTCATCTCAAATACTTTACATGAACTCCACAAGTTAGATCACCCAATACCTCACCATAAGGATCTTGAATCAAACCTTTAACCCGACCAAAAACACCAAGATACCCCACATAATCCACCAAGATACCCTATATAATACACCAAGCCCCCAACTTCCTTGGCACTTGATGAAGTAGGAGGCCAAGGAAGGAGATACTCACTTCCAAGAGGTGAAATAAAGTAAAAAGGGAAGAGGAGGAGGATCACCCAAAGATCAAGGCAAGATCAACCCAAAAGTACCAAGTAAAGGGGGAGGGTACTTTTCATAATCAAGGGGAATACCTTGTTTAAATGGTTTTGAGTCAGGGGCCTTAACCCTTTTGGTTGTGATTGAAATTGTGTGTTGATGAATCCATGATTAAAATTTTGATTGAAATAAGTAAATGCATAAAAATCACTAAGAACCACAAAGTGCATTGTATTTGATGATGACTTTGCTTGTTATGTGGTTAATTGTACGAAAATCTTCTTTTGGATTAAAATTATTTTGGAAATCAAAATGAATTTCTAAAGTATTTTTAAATATTTATGAAAGAAACTTCTAAAAGGAGATGGATTAAGAATGGAAAGTGACCATGATGAAGACCCTTGGACTTATGGACATATTTGGATCTATGGACTACATGGACAAATGATGAGAACAAACTTTGAAAGAATAAATTTGAAAGATTGAACCTAAAAATATAAAAATACCATGGACTTGGACCACAAATACCTTGGAAATGCAAGAAACTTTAACACATGTGTGGTAGGACCACGAAAATAACTGGGACCATATTTAGACATGAATTAATGACCTTGCACACATGGAAGACATACTGGACAATTTGAGACTTACCAAATTAGGGACAAGGACCTTTTTGCGATTAATATAAAATATAAAAATTAAAGTGTAAATAATGTAAAATATGAGAAAATCTTTGAAAGTATTTTTTAAGTATTTTATTTAGAAAGATAGTTAAATTTAGATTATTTCCCCAGTGGGTTTACTTTATTTGGATTTATTTGGATTTAAGATGTCTATGGCAAGGCATGTCATCTGCCAGTAGAGATTGAATATAAGGCTAATTGGGTTGTGAGGACTTGCAATCTGCATTATGACTCAGCTAGAGAGCAGAAAAAGTTGCAATTATAAGAATTAGAGGAACTATGTTTAGAGGCCTATGAGAATTCAAGGATTTATAAGGAAAGAACCAAGAAATACCATGACAAATTGATAGTTAGGAAGGAATTTTGTGTTGGTCAAAAGGTTCTCTTTTTTAATTCTCACCTCAAATTCATGCCTAGGAAGCTTTGTTCAAGGTGGATCAATCCATTCACAGTTACAAAAGTATTGCCTAATGGTGTAGTGGAAATCAAGAGTGATTCTACTAGCAAAAGCTTCATGGTGAATGGCCATAGCTTGAAGTGCTTTCTACAAAATTTAGTCCCCCTGGAGGAAGTTGAGGAGATAAATCTGCAGACCCCTATCCTAAACTTCAACCTCCACCCTTGTTCTGAGTAATCAAGTCTATACATTAAGCTAGTGACGTTAAAGAAGCGCTATATAACAGGTAACTCACAATTTTCTTAGAAGTTTTTAATTAGTTTTCTGTATTTAACATTGGTCTTAAATTTGAGTTTTCGCTATTTCATGAATTTTTCTACATAAACACTATATTTTGCATTTACTTTGGTATTTAACATGTGTTTCTGCATAATTCTAAATTTTGCAGAGGGAGAATACAAATTTTAGACCCAATTTCTGCATAAATTCAAGAAAAGATCAAGTGCAGTAGGAGAGTGAACCCTGTCATAGCTTAAGGTAACCACCTTGATGGAGAAAATGAGAGTTTGTCATAAAGGCAATCACTTTCCATAACCATAGTAGCTACTCTCAGTCTAGGTATGCATTTTTGCTCTCTGTAGTGATCACTTTCATTGCTGATAGTAGTTACTTTCAAGGTATTTGAGCTAAATTGAGTGCGCGTGTTTACTTTTACTTTCATGAACCATAGTAAACACGTGCAGCAATGAGAATTACAAAGGGTAGGCACTCTTTGTATTGTTTACTTTCACTGATGAAAGTAAATACATAGAGGCCTTTTTGGGCTAATATGAGTGCGCGTACTATCATGAACCATAGTAAACACGCGCAGTGCCTTTACACAATTTTGAAAATTAGCGCTCCCTGTACACCCAGAAACACTCCAAAGACCAAAAGGGCTAGGATTATCGAAGCTTCATCCTCTAGACCCACACCTGCACATGACCTTAGGTTCAGGTCAATAGGCCACGAGAACTATTTCAAGGCTAATATAGTGAGAAGACAAATTGTGCAGGACTGCAATTTTAAGATCCAAGAGGGCAGCTACCCTCAATTTTAGGAGGAGATCTAGAAGAGAGGCTGGGACCTCTTCACATCATGTGCTGGGAATAGGTGGAAGGAGATCACCCAAGAATTCTACGCCAATGCTATTAGGATGAACAGAGACCAACTCCCCTATAGGAACACCATGGTAAGGGAGGTGGAAATTGACTTCTCCCCCTCTAAGATTCAAAGGATCCAAAACATACCACTTGTGGAGAGGCAGGCTGAGTAGTTGGACTTCACCACCTTCAGCTACCTAGAAAAAAAAGACTACAAGTCAATCCTCCAAACAATCTGCAAAGCTAGAGAAAATTGGGAGTTTGATACGAAACTCTAACCAAAGAACTTGACCACCAACCACCTTCTCCCACTAGCTAAAGTTTGGAGCATCTTTCTCCTCAGCTCCTTCATGTTAGTACGCCACTCATCCACCTTAGCAGTGAAGAGGGCAAAGCTCATTTATGTCATCCTCATTGGCATGCCCATCCATGTTGGTGATGTCATTAGCAACGCCATCATGGACATCTTAGCCAGGTAGAGAGATTCCCTGGGCTTCCCCTTCATTTCACCATGCTCTGCCAAGATGTTAGGGTAAACATGGGAGACTACTAGCAAAGGGTCAGAGTAGCTCATCCTATTACCACAGTTATGATCAAGGAGTTGTTCTCCCCAAAGAAGAACATTAATCCAGGCATATCTCTCCTAGCTGAATACAGGAAAGTAACCCCTATGAAGATGAGAGACCAGGTGAAGAACATTGCCTTGAGGCATGAAGCTTTGCATGGGAATCAGAAGGAAATGCTTACCCTGATAGAGACCATGATGCTGAATATTGGAAAGAAGCTGGGAACAACTCCTGACCAGATTTATGACACTTCTACAGTCGATGCCCCCTATCTTAGAGCAGTTATCATGGGTGACCTTCCTCCCTTCACCACCATTGCCACTACACCGCCACTAATGTACATATTTTAAGTTGTCATATGCTTTATTTTTAGAGTTTTTATCATTTTCTAGTTATTTGAATAAATTGGGTTTGTTACAAATCAATGTTTTGATTTTGTATTTTCGGTTATTCTGACCTCTGACTACTAAGGAATCCACACTTTATAGATATTTTATTTGGTTTTTATAAACTTTTAATAGAAAAAAATAGACTTAGAGATTGTAAATAACATTAAAATCTCATTTAGGT